CCAGTTTCCACTGTTACAGTTTTGCTTCTTGTTGTTTACTGTTCCTTGTTGTAGACCGCGCGAGGGGGGGGGAGCCGAAAACCGTTCTGGTTAGCACCTCTCGGGAGGGGTCTCAGAATTCTTGGGCGGCAGGGCGCATGCAGTCGCGCTGCCGTCTTCGGGAAAACAAGGATCACACATAGTTTCCCGCATTGAAGCTTAAGATGGAATCAGTGCAAGCTACGATGGTGCTTCGATGAGGGGTGAGGGGTGTTTCGATGACGCGTAACGGCTGTTGCATTGATTTGTATCTTAAACTCGCGTGCGTTTCGAAACTTGGAGCCATCTTGGGGCTCTCTTGGGGTTCTCTTGGGGCCCTCTCGGGGCCCTCCTGAAGCTCTTTCTTGGGGCCCTCTTGGGGTCGTCTAAATTCCTTCTTGGAGCCCTCTTGGGTTTGGGGGCGTCTTGGGGTCCTCTTGGGGCTCTTTTGGGGGGTCTTGGAGCTCTCTTGGGGCTCTTGGGGGTGGTCTGGGAGGCCTCTCGGGGTCGTCTTAGGCCGCATTCAAGACGATGGGGGGTTCTAATTCGGATCGCCCCCTCGGAGGCTCAAACATGCCGTCTTGGGGCCCTCTTGGGCCGCTCTTGAAGCGCTCTTGGGCGCTCTCGGGGCCGTCTTGGGGCCCTCTTGGGCCGTATTGGGGCCATCTTGAGGCCGAGCCCATCGCAGGCGAAAAAGCGAGAAGGCACACAACATGAATTTCCTTAGGTTTTTGAAGGATTTTGGTCTCTTGGGGGGTCCTCGGAGGGCTCGGAGGGCACTTGAAACCGTCTTGGGGCCGTCTTGAGGCCTCTTGGATGCGTGTCGGAGGCTATCTTGAGCCATCTACCGCTATCTTGGGCCATCTTGGAGGCCATCTCGCACTCTCTGAAGCCCTCTTGGAGCCATCTTGGGCCGAAAGGGCCCTCTGCCACCTCGCGGGGAGCCCGTCCAGACGCAGGGAGGGGGGGGGAGGTAAACTTCCCGAGCAGGGAAAGGAAGGAGGTTGGAAAAGGAAACGCCCTAGACCACCTGCGCCCAGAGGGCTGGTGGGACTTCTGGGGGGGGTCGAAATTATCACCCCTCACGCAGACGGGCGGGGTCAGGGTCCAAAAACACATTGGATTTGCAACATTTCAATACATCGTAGGAAAGCTTCTTGCACAGCATACGCGAGCAAGCTCGAAATACAACACCGCATTCAACAATATCATCAGAATCGCAATTTGTCGTGCCGATTACTCATCGTCTTCGAGAGGAGTCCCGACGCTGCTTCACGGCGGCGCCCAGGCCTCAAGATTTCGCTTTTGTTTTGCCCACTATCCGAGAGAGGGGGGGCCGGCGGTAGGGGGCGAAGCCCTCACGGATATCAATAGCAATAATATGAGGAGGAGGAGGAGGAGGAGGAGGAGGAGGAGGAGGAGGAGGAGGAGGAGGAGGACGAGGAGGACGAGGAGAAGGAGGAGATGGAGGAGGAGAGGAGGAGAGGAGGAGATGGAGGAGGCCGATGGGGAGGAGGAGGAGGCGGTGGAGGAGGAGGGGGAGGAGGAGGGGGAGGAGGAGAAAGTAGGAAAGACGAGCTGGAGGAGTAAGCAAACCATTCGGAGCAGGAGGAGACGCAAGGACAGGGGGTCGGGCAGGAGGAGCAGGAGCAACAGCTCGTGTCGAGTAACAAGACAAGGAGGAAACAAGCGTGACGGATGAAAGGGGTGTTCATGCCCTCCTCTGTATTGCTTGTTTGTTGATTGGTCAGAAGATGGGCGGGTTTGTCTCCTCGAGGACGGCTCGTTGCCTGATGAGGCCGTGGTTGTGGCGGAGCCGCTGTGGCAAAGCAGCTCAATCTTCTGCTGGGAGGCGGCGAACCTCTTCTCTGCCTAGTTGCCTCCTCCACGTTCTGCCGCCTGGTGGATGCTTGCTTAAGCTGCCTTTCCTCATTTCTTCTTGCCCACATCTTCGGAATCAGCTTCTCGAGTGTCCAGCTCGGTCGGTCCATCCCTGGCTCACGAGTCTGCTCCACATGTTGAAGGCTGGTTCAGCATTCGGTGCGGGGGGTGGGGTAGGGATTGAGGACGGGCTCCCAGAGGGGGCAGGGCTCCCGCCCTCGCCCCCCACCCCCCCACCCCCTGAGGGTTTCGGGGTGGTTTTCTAGAGCACGTGCCTTCCCAACACCTTCCCTTGCGGAGAGAGTTTCGGGAGCGTTAAGGGTGTTGTCGCAGGGGGTCGAGGCAGGTTTCCCCCTCCCCTCCCCCGAGGCCCACAACAAACAAACCACCTGCGGTATGCTGGGGTCAGGGGTTTCAGTGGTGCCGAGGCAGGCTCCGGGGCGGGCAAGGGGGTGGCGACCCCCGCCCCCTCGCAACCTTCCTCTGCAGGGGGGAGGGCTCGTTGATTTACGGTTATTTTCCAGGGGGTAGCGACCGCCCCTCCCCCCCCCCCTCCCCCGTGCAGCCTGCAGGAACCGTTCGGGGGCTTTCCAGCCGCTGCTCGCCTCCTCCTGATCCGCGTTCCAAACACAGCTTCCTATTCTCTACTTCGAGAGAAGCGTATGTTTGGCACGGCGTTTGCACAGGTGCTTCTTCAGAGCCTGGCTTCGTGATTCAGACGGTGACTGACCCCCCAGCGTCGACCCCCAATACGAACGCCACCACATCAGCAACATGCGGCAGACGTCTCGGACCACGCCATCCTTCTGGCCAGGGCCACGTACAGTCGGCCCAGACTAGTAGGTCGACCCTGCCATGCCAGCTCGAGGGTACCCTTGTGTCCTGTGCCTCGCGACACGTGCCTTCTTACACTCCTATGGCATCTCGCGTGTCCTCTCGCGTATCCTCGCGCGTGTCCTTCGGAAAGGGTCTCGTGTCCTCTCGCGCGTCCTCTCCAATCAAGTCCGACTGTAAGACCCCCCCCTATGCTGAAGCGATAGAGCCGGGGAGCAATCATCCTCCTCCTCCTCCCGCTGCGTTCTGGCAGAGGCCTGCTGGCCGCCGCCCCTCCGCGGCCCGCGCCTCGAGAGGTGCCTGGGCGCGCCCGCCCCGCAGAGCTGCCACGGCGTGGCGCCGGGGAGTTCTGGGGGGCTGTCTCGGAGCTGTCTGTACTTAAGTCGGGCGTGTCCCTCTGTTGGGGGAGTATTCGAAATGGGAGACTTTGGGATTACGGTTGTTTATGCTGCTAAGGACTTTGGGATTATGTTTTGACTCTGGGATTATGTTTGGGACTGATGGGATGATGGTTGGGATTTGGACTTTGGGACTCTGCTGGGGACGACTTTGGGATTATGTTGGGGTATTGTTTGATCATTGTTGGGTGTACTTTTTTTAAACTATCGCCCCAAATCCGCCTGTAGGACATGCCCGACCCAAAGCTGTCCTGGAGCTCCCCCGAGGCGACCCGAGGCCGCAGCGCCTCGCAGGCGCAGCACGCGCGCGAGGCTCCTCGGGTTTCCCAGGACTCCTCGGGCCCCCCGGGGGGACTTCACCGAGGGGGGCACCTCGGGGCATCCCTTCGGGCTCTCCCTGGGCCTCCTGGTGCACATTTGGGAGGCCAAGTTGGCTCGAGGCGCCCGCTTTGAAACGCAACACGTGCCGTGCTCAAAACGTACCGTCCGTGTCAATACGTAGCGTGTTGGCTCAGCGTATTGGACCACGTTTCGGCGAACATATCGCGTCAGAGTAGCGTGCTCAGTCTACGTGTTGATCTCCGTCTCAATACGCTACGTGTTGCGTGTTGCGTTTCGGGGCTGCTATGTTGGGGGGTATCTTGGAGGGGCTCTTTGGGGATCACGGTAGTCTGGCATCCTGCAGCCACCGTGGGACGGCCTTGGTCGTCTTGGAGCCGCCCCGTGGTCGAAGCGGGCGACGACGACCGATGCCAGGGCCACCAGCGAGATCCGAAGTCGAGGTTCGAAGGGCTGTCGAGGTTCGAAGCTCGTGGTCTTCGGGCTGGTTCGTCGGTTCCCAGAGGTGTGCCAGCCCCGGGGTGCTCTCCAGCAGCTGCGCTTCGCCGAGAGCGCTCTCCGGGGGTGCCGGGAGCCGTCTCTCTCGACCGCGAGGGCCCCCACCCCCATCCATACCGACCACACCGGGCTCCCAGGGGAGGGGCTTGGGGAGGGGCCGGTATTTCACACGCCGATGGACTCCCAAGGGGTCGGCGGATTTTGAGACAGGTTCCCGGCCCGCCTCGCTGGTCCTGCATGCCGCGGCCGGCCGCGCGGCCCCGAGAGACCGAGTGGCCCCCGGGCATCCCGCCTCGCCCGCCCAGCACATCGCGGCCGCCGGGCTCCAAGAATCGGGCCCTCCCTGCACGCCGCGGCCACGGGTTCCCAAAGATCCTCGAGAGTCCAGTCTCGACGCCATGAACAAACATATTGACCACGCGTAACTAACAGACAACCCACCAGGGAGGTGCAACGGCGTCACGCCGTCCAGGCGTCGTGGCGTCTCGCTTTCTCTATCTAGAGCGTGCGAAAAGGGGCATGCACGATCAACTTGCGTCGATAACACAAGCCTGTTCTTGCACATGAGCATACACCGCTGACGCATGCGAAGGAATTGCACCAAGCACCGACGCAAACATATACTTCACGATCAAGCATCATGACAGGAACTAACCGCATGCACAAGCATTACACAACAAAAACATACAGCAACCAGAGTCCCCAGTATAATACGACGGCCAACCTACGTCAATCACCGCCACCAATAACAGACACAAGCCACATATACCAACAACAGACGCCCATCACATACATCAAGCATGCGCGCCGGAATCATGTCTCAATCTCAGACACTAGGAGCAATATTATACAGCAACCGCAAGAACATACACACATGAATCGACCCAGCTTCATGCACCAAGAACACGCGCCGATGGCGTTCGTCGTCGGCGTCGCCGCCGAAAGCCCCCGTCGCCGCCAGGGTTCTCTGCCGCAGGCGCTCGTCGTCGCAGGCACTCGTCGTCGATGTCCTCGGCGGCGCTCGTCGTCCAG